TGTAGTACGGGCCCCCCCGCAGAGCCCAGAGAGGGGACGTCACCGGCGGCTGGGCTCGCGGCAGCGGCCGAGCCCCCGCTCTCCGGCATCGACGGCAAAGCACCGTGTGGGGAAACCTTGCTGCAGAGAAATGAGGCAGAAAAGCAAAAGTACGTGAGTACCGGGGACGGGGCTTCACACCCCTCAGCCGGGGTCATTTCGGGGTGCTGGGGGGACACGCGGCGGCTCTGTCCCCACTCCTGCGCGGGGTGTCCGTCTGCCCTTCCCTCTCCTCCTTCCCTTTGCACCTCCTTTGCTCTCTGGGTGGAGAGTGGACACATCCAGCCCGGAAAGCTGATGCGCAGTCCTGGGCGCTCCGAGCATCCATCTGTCCATCTGTCCCCTCTCCCGGGCAGTTTTTGGGCAGCGGCGGGCATGGGCAGGTCCCTCCTGTCAGCCCCTCGCGCCGTCTTCTCGGCACGTGGTTTGCTCGGACAAATGGGTTAAATCCAGGTCAGCAGATGAACCTCATTAAATGGCCTTTTAATTTGGAGGCTCCCGGCTTTCCCGCTGCCTTCATTGTTATTCCTTAACACGCTGCACCGGGAAACAAATGAGGAATCTTTAAACCCTAAATTGCAGATCTCTGCGAGTAAGTTCCTGGCAAGTGCAGGCTATAAATAATGCAGAATAACTTTTCCCTGATTGCTTCCCCCCCTCCAATTAACTCCAGGCGGGGGTGAGCTGCCATCCCCCACGTCGGAGGGGTTTCAGCCAGAGGGATCGGGACTATTTTCAGCTCAAAGTGAATTTTTTACACCTGGGGCGATAAACCCCTTAACATCAGGGAGTAACATGGCTTGAACAGGTCCCGACGTTCCACTGATGGGTCTTTCCCCCAAGTGTCACTGAGTGATGGGGACACAGCGAGGGGGTGTCCCCGCAGCCTCGGGGGGGGCTGTGGGGTCGGCACGGCCGCGGTGCTGCCGGCACGCCGCTGATGCCCGTCTCTCGCAGGGGACTGCAGGAAGCACAGGTCACTTTGGCCGCTCGGCTGGGGGAAGCAGAGGAGAAGATCAAAGTGCTCCATGCAGGTAGGGGGGCCGGGGCAGGGGCCGCCGGCCGTAGGGGGCCAAGCCCCCACCCCACGGCTCACCCTCCTCTTCCTCCTCCCAGCGCTGAAGGCCACCCAGACGGAGCTGCTGGAGCTGCGGTGTAAATACGACGAGGAAGCCGCGTCCAAGTAAGTGGCCGGCAATGCCCGGTCATGCCCGTGGGCTGTTGGCGTGCCCAAAGCTGAGCAGAGCCGCCTGCGGCAGTGCCGGGACATCCCCGCGGTGCTGTTAACTGGCTTGAGGAGCTGAGGTGCTTTAAGTGACCGTAGCAGCATCCCAAGTCACGGGGGCTCCCTAAACCTAAGGCAGGAGCCCTTTTTGGCAGTGGAGGGCTGTGTCCGTGCCTCCGCGCCGGCTGATGCCTCTTGTTTTCTCATCGCAGGGCGGACGAAGTAGCCATGATCATGACAAACCTCGAAAAAGCCAACCAGGTGAGCCGGGAGCTGACTTTCCAGCCAGCGCAGGGCACGTACCCTGCTCCCCCTCTGCCGTGCTCAGCTGCTCCCCCCCCAGCCGCCGTAGCCACCGTGGCACCCTAAGCATCCGCATGGCATGGATGTCTGTCCCCAAAAGTGGTACTGGGGTGGCCAGACTCCAGGAGCGGGAAGACCTACAAAGCGGGGTTTCCTTCACCCGGTGGTTCCTCCAAACCGGCCCGATGGGACCCCTCCGCCCCATGCTGGGTGTCACTGGTGTGTTTGGGCTCCCACTGGGCTCTGGTTTGGCTGCGGGAGCTGGTGTTTGTCACCTCCAGCCTCTGCCGGCTGTTTCAGGGGATGACCTACACCCGCCTGGTGTTGGTTTCTGACGTAATTGCTTCTGGTCTTATCCATTCCTATTCATTAGTTTTATTAAATTCTGAAAATGTAGGTACAAGTAAATGTCCATGGGTAACAAAAGAGGCTTAAAGAGCAAATTGGATGTAAATACGGCCTTTTGGGTAGAAAAAGGCAGTGTCCTGGAGGTGGGCTGCTGGTGCTCAGAGATTGGGACTGGGAACCGTGTTGGGATGTGGGGAGCCGAAATACATGGCGGGGTGGGGGCGATTGTGGTGGGAGCAGGATGCTCAGGAGAAGCCCGCAGGTCGGTGGAGCTCCTGAGGCCCCGCTCTGCCCTGTGTGGGGTGGGCTGAGCTGCGGGTGCCCGGGCTGACGCGCTTTCTGCTCTCTTGCAGCGAGCGGAGGCGGCGCAGAGGGAGGTGGAGAGCTTGCGGGAGCAGCTGGCGGCCGTGAACAGTTCCCTCCGCCTGGCCTGCTGCTCCCCGCCAGGCGCTGCCGGGGTGAGGGCACCCCTCGGGGCCGGCGGCACCCCGCCGTG